CATACATATATATATATATATACATATATATATATATATATATATATATAGTAATTTAATTATATAATAAATATATTTTATCACTTAAAAATACATTAATAAGCTAATTTATGTGTTCTGTGCACTGCAGTAAAATCCAGAGTTTTTTCCAGTGCCTGTCTTCTTTTAAAATTAGAAACAAAAATGTCTAAACCAAAGGAACTCAGAAAAGAAAGTTAGCTTTCTTGGCATATTAAGGTTAACGAAAGGAAAGCAATCATTTAAACAGAGTAACAGACATTAGATCTGCTTCCTGAATTTCTTAAAAACATATTTCTGTAATGATGAGCGTACTAATAATAAAAAAACCCTGATAAACGGTCATCAGCCAAGAAAAATCTTTCATAAGAACAACTAATGAAGCAATGATATTTCACATATTACTCATATTGCATTCATGAACGTGTGCCAATGAATGTTGTGATATTAGTCATTTAATAGGGTATATTTCTCTGGCAATTCAGAAAGTACGTCACAATAAATCATCATGAAAAGTCGTGATGAAATATTTTTCATGTTCCCTGCCATCATAATGCACGTTTATTTCAAATAAGATGCGTTTCCTGTTAACCTCCATAAACCTTCAAAGAGCTTTAAGATTCTCCTCACAATATAATCAAACGTGATGGACAATTATTCACCATTTACCTGCTTCTCTGCTACACTGCCTTACCACAAACACCTGTTCATAACCAAAGATCAAAATAATGTCCAGGGATTCATGACAATAATGTCAGTCCAATAGTTCTGACACATGATTAATATAACTACGAGCATAAATAAAGACACAGATGACTGCACACTTGAAAGCACAGTTTCCGTCCATATACACTGACCGCAGAAAGTATTTGGACTCACTGTCTGAATGCGACTACATTACGCACAAAATATATTTGGTTTAATATTTTGCAATGAATTAATCTAATGGAATGAATTCTAAGTGTAATTCTTAAGTGCCCAAATCGCTGACATCTATATATGATCTCTTAATACTAGATTAGTGGTCTAAATAAATTTTTGGAGCCTAATCATTACTGTTAAATCCTCAAACTAATTTCTTTTTAATGACAATGGTGTCTAATACCAAGTCACCAAGTAGTAATGCAGTAAATGTTTTTTTTTTTTTTTGGCCGGAATATCAATATGATAATGCAGTCTTGGGAATGAATGAAAACAGATTCTTAGATGTCATTCTCATTCATTTATCCTAAATATACAGTCAGCACAAAGTAGTAGCCATAGAAACTGTTAAATAAAGCTTTAGGCGCTCAATTTGCACCACTTATGTTTCATAATAATGTGTTATGAAGCAGAACAGCGGGGTTGAGGTCGTGTGTTTGTGACGAGGACCCCTGTGTGGCCTTCACACACACACACACACACACTCACTCTCTCTCTCTCTCTCACACACACTCACTCACACACTCACACACTCACTCTCTCTCACACACTCCCTCTCTCTCACACACACTCACTCACACACTCACACACTCACTCTCTCTCACACACTCCCTCTCTCTCACACACACTCACTCACACACTCACACACTCACTCTCTCTCACACACTCCCTCTCTCTCACACACACTCACTCACACACTCACACACTCACTCTCTCTCACACACTCCCTCTCTCTCACACACACTCACTCACACACTCACACACTCACTCTCTCTCACACACTCCCTCTCTCTCACACACACTCACTCACACACTCACACACTCACTCTCTCTCACACACTCCCTCTCTCTCACACACACTCACTCACACACTCACACACTCACTCTCTCTCACACACTCCCTCTCTCTCACACACACTCACTCACACACTCACACACTCACTCTCTCTCACACACTCCCTCTCTCTCACACACACTCACTCACACACTCACACACTCACTCTCTCTCACACACTCCCTCTCTCTCACACACACTCACTCACACACTCACACACTCACTCTCTCTCACACACTCCCTCTCTCTCACACACACTCACTCACACACTCACACACTCACTCTCTCTCACACACTCCCTCTCTCTCACACACACTCACTCACACACTCACACACTCACTCTCTCTCACACACTCCCTCTCTCTCACACACACTCACTCACACACTCACACACTCACTCTCTCTCACACACTCCCTCTCTCTCACACACACTCACTCACACACTCACACACTCACTCTCTCTCACACACTCCCTCTCTCTCACACACACTCACTCACACACTCACACACTCACTCTCTCTCACACACTCCCTCTCTCTCACACACACTCACTCACACACTCACACACTCACTCTCTCTCACACACTCCCTCTCTCTCACACACACTCACTCACACACTCACACACTCACTCTCTCTCACACACTCCCTCTCTCTCACACACACTCACTCACACACTCACACACTCACTCTCTCTCACACACTCCCTCTCTCTCACACACACTCACTCACACACTCACACACTCACTCTCTCTCACACACTCCCTCTCTCTCACACACACTCACTCACACACTCACACACTCACTCTCTCTCACACACTCCCTCTCTCTCACACACACTCACTCACACACTCACACACTCACTCTCTCTCACACACTCCCTCTCTCTCACACACACTCACTCACACACTCACACACTCACTCTCTCTCACACACTCCCTCTCTCTCACACACACTCACTCACACACTCACACACTCACTCTCTCTCACACACTCCCTCTCTCTCACACACACTCACTCACACACTCACACACTCACTCTCTCTCACACACTCCCTCTCTCTCACACACACTCACTCACACACTCACACACTCACTCTCTCTCACACACTCCCTCTCTCTCACACACACTCACTCACACACTCACACACTCACTCTCTCTCACACACTCCCTCTCTCTCACACACACTCACTCACACACTCACACACTCACTCTCTCTCACACACTCCCTCTCTCTCACACACACTCACTCACACACTCACACACTCACTCTCTCTCACACACTCCCTCTCTCTCACACACACTCACTCACACACTCACACACTCACTCTCTCTCACACACTCCCTCTCTCTCACACACACTCACTCACACACTCACACACTCACTCTCTCTCACACACTCCCTCTCTCTCACACACACTCACTCACACACTCACACACTCACTCTCTCTCACACACTCCCTCTCTCTCACACACACTCACTCACACACTCACACACTCACTCTCTCTCACACACTCCCTCTCTCTCACACACACTCACTCACACACTCACACACTCACTCTCTCTCACACACTCCCTCTCTCTCACACACACTCACTCACACACTCACACACTCACTCTCTCTCACACACTCCCTCTCTCTCACACACACTCACTCACACACTCACACACTCACTCTCTCTCACACACTCCCTCTCTCTCACACACACTCACTCACACACTCACACACTCACTCTCTCTCACACACTCCCTCTCTCTCACACACACTCACTCACACACTCACACACTCACTCTCTCTCACACACTCCCTCTCTCTCACACACACTCACTCACACACTCACACACTCACTCTCTCTCACACACTCCCTCTCTCTCACACACACTCACTCACACACTCACACACTCACTCTCTCTCACACACTCCCTCTCTCTCACACACACTCACTCACACACTCACACACTCACTCTCTCTCACACACTCCCTCTCTCTCACACACACTCACTCACACACTCACACACTCACTCTCTCTCACACACTCCCTCTCTCTCACACACACTCACTCACACACTCACACACTCACTCTCTCTCACACACTCCCTCTCTCTCACACACACTCACTCACACACTCACACACTCACTCTCTCTCACACACTCCCTCTCTCTCACACACACTCACTCACACACTCACACACTCACTCTCTCTCACACACTCCCTCTCTCTCACACACACTCACTCACACACTCACACACTCACTCTCTCTCACACACTCCCTCTCTCTCACACACACTCACTCACACACTCACACACTCACTCTCTCTCACACACTCCCTCTCTCTCACACACACTCACTCACACACTCACACACTCACTCTCTCTCACACACTCACTCTCTCTCACACACTCACTCTCTCTCACACACACTCACACACTCACTCTCTCTCTCACACACACACACTCTCACACTCACTCTCACACTCACACACTCACTCTCTCTCACACACACACACTCACACACTCACTCTCTCTCTCACACTCACACACTCACTCTCTCTCTCTCACACACACACACACACACACACACTCACTCTCTCTCTCTCTCTCACACACACTCACTCACACACACACAGCCACCAATTACCCACGTAATTCTTTCCATCCCTCCTCGGTAAACAACAGCGAATTAACTACAACCCTGAGAAACTCATATACCATCTCATATAGGACCGGAAACACAGAAATAACGCAAACATTAGGAGCTACTCGTGTGTTTACGTCGCTACAAGACGCTAGCTTTAGCAGGAGCGGAACCAGCGCGGGCCGTGTCTCAAATCCTAGCGAGCTCAGTCCGGAATGGGTCCAAACGACGTCTGTAGGAAATACGTTGCCTGTCTAGGCAGCTCGCTGCGTTTTAAGCCACAGCCACGCTCATGATGCACAAACACCATTATTACTTACATTCTATAGTAACGCTTTAAACGCGTTTGTCTGCAATAAGATTGAGCCAATCGGGTCTAAAGCATTTTTATACATGTACTCACTGTATATAAATCTAAGAGCCATACAAAGCTCGCGTTTGTGTTATAATAACAGTTATAAATGAAGAATGGATGTTGTTTTCATGATAAACAGCGCGACCCAATTAAACGACTCCAGCAGCAGCGTAGCGTTATGCGAAGATGCTGAAGTTAAATGAATGGCAGTAGATGAAGCAGGCCTGTTGTTTACCTCTAAGGACAGGTGAGTGAGGGCAGCGCTCCGGTGAGCTCCTGAGCTCCGGAGGAGAGCGCCTCTGCCGCGGGATCAGCGAACCGCTTCCTGCCGGGCTGCCGGGACTGGAGCTGCGGTGCTGGGCTGATGCTGTCGGTTCGGTGTTGCTTCCGACTGAGATGGAGGAGGAGGAGGGAGGGCGGGTCGGGCTGTGCTGCTGATTTCCTCGCAGGAGCTGGTAGGGCACCGTGGCGCGAATGGGCTGCAACCGGCTCGAGCTGCCTGCGGAGGAGGATGAGGACGATGATGCTGAAGAGGAGGAGGAAGAGGAGGCGTTGATGGGGGACCCGTCATTGCTGCGCCTGACCCGCGCTGAGTGCACAGGTGATGCTGACATGACTGAACCTAACTATGTGGTAGTTTCACCGCAAAGTACGCGAAGAAATTCCTCCCCAGGCATTCATTAACTTAAGTCATTAATTAAACTTCTTTAACAGTTACAATGTTGGCGTCGCGCGCAGCTTCGAGTTTGTAGCAATGTAGTTTCCCTGAACGACGTTTTGCTCCTTTACTCATGCAGAAGTTTGTTTGACGCTGACTAGTCTTTAAAATGTGTCAGGAGGAGTGCATCCGAGTCTGGAAACCTAAAACAAAGTTGACGCTTATCCCGACTGTCGTGTGTCTCGGCACCCCTCTTTAGCCTGGTGTTACTCCAAATGAGACTGTCATTATGACAGGCACTCCAGCTGCGCAGTCACCGAGACGCGGGGGCGGGGGCGTCCGGCGCTCTCACGGCCTCTGATTGGTGCATCGCATGAACGAACTCAAATATGATTGGTCTGGCGAAAATGATGGATTTAGAGAGAGCCAATGGATTCATTGCGGTTTAGAACGTTTGGGATTCTGCCTTGCTATTGGTTGGGATTGTAAACTGACTGACTAATCTGAAGGTGCAAACATTAGTACTAGATAATAACACAGATGGTCAGTGTAACGGGCTTAACTGTAAGCCATGCAAAAAGCGTGAGAAGACATTTAAGAGAGGCCGGGGCTAGTTGTCACACGTGTTGTATCTCAAACTATAATGTTTTATATAAAACAGTGTAATAGAAATGTGTGTTTCTAGACAAGGGTCAATTTACAATTTTAACTCAAGCTGTCAGGATAAAAATGTCAGGCTGGGGCAAGTTGTCACATGTTTTAAATTTTGATTTGCTAATTTGGTTAACCTTTACATTTGTGACCCTGGACCACAAAACCAGTCATAAGGGTCCTTTTTTTATTATTGAGATTTATACATCATCTGAAAGCTGAATAAATAAGTTTTCCATTGATGTATGGTCTGTTAGGATAGGGCAATATTTGGCCGAGACACAACTATTTGAAAATCTGGAATCTGAGGGTGCAAAAAAATCTAAATATTGAGAAAATCTACTTTAAAGTTGTCCAAATGAAGTTCTTAACAATGCATATTACTAATCAAAAATTAAGTTTTGATATATTTACAGTAGGAAATTTACAAAATATCTTCATGGAACATGATCTTTACTTAATATCCTAATGATTTTTGGTATAAAAGAAAAATCAATAATTTTGACCCATACAATGTATTTTTGGCTTTTGCTACAAATATACCCCAGCGACCTAAGACTGCTTTTGTGCTCCAGGGTCACATTTTTGCTTTTTATGTACTCTATAGGAAATCTGTGATAAATCCTTAGATGTGCTGAATAATATTTACTAATTATGAATATACAAAACAGCAAACTGCAACAAAACACAGTTATCAAGTAAGATTTTAATGAAACAACGTCATATTACATGCTCAGAATTTAAACATCACGTGGGATCAGAAACAATGATGAATTCTGTTCCAGATATGAATCAATAAGGAATCCAACAAAGGAATTAAGGTGATTAAATTATTTTACAGACATTTTTATAGAGCAAACACAACTTTGATTACTTCAGTACAATGTTTTGAAAAGGATAGGTCAGTCAGATACATTAGGAGGAAGCTTAGATAAAATAACCATGTCGGAAAGACAGACAAATCAAAACACAGACTCATAAAATATGTTTTAATAAACAAAAGTGGGATATGAAATGGTATCAAGTAAATAAACTAAACCGCTATCAAGTAAAGTGCAGAGGATGTAAAGGAGAAACAGCTAAACTCCTGAGTGCATTGTGTAAATAGCAGCACGCACGATGATAAAACCCATCCAATTAACTGAAATTCAGATGAAAGAAAAACAAGAAAAAACAGCTCAACAACTGTGTGGCCTACCCAAACAGAACAGTAAATCCTACTAAAACCCATGTGCATGTTTTTGCAATCAAACTTAAACAGAATACATATCTGCCTCCCAAAATGGGGTGTGTCATGTTTAGGCAGAACTTCAAAATGTCATGCATTAAAGCCAAACAACACCAGTCGAGGTATGCATATTCACACAAACAGAAGAAAAAAGCATACTTTTACGAACAAAGAGATATGATATTGGCCTATTTATATAAAGCCCTCCAATGCGTCTCGTGATTTTAACTGCAATCCATTCATAAGTAACTTAAAGTGATATGCGTAATTTTTGTGACGTAAAAATACTTCATATCCCAGCATTATATGCAGAGACAACTACAAGTAAGCAATATTCTATCCTGATTCCCCTGAAAAGTGCAAAACACTACGTCAGTATCAAGATATTGTTCTGTTTGCACATCCCAACCAGCCATCTGTCTCAACCAATAGCAACCGTTTGGGGCGGGACTATCTGTTTGACTGACCAATAGCAGAGAGGGAGTGTTTTTTCGCCTTTAAGGTTTATAGGTACTAAAAGTAGAGTTACAGTAAATAGTGGACTAGCCAAAAGGCCATTGCGATTGCCATTTTTAATATACATTTTTTAAATATAATTTGTATTTGAATAAAATACTTCTATTACTGAATTATTTATTTTACATATGTTTAAAGATCACTGAGAGATCAATCGATTTTCAGTCAATGATCTTAAAACCGATTCCATAAATTACAGTGAGTTTTTGCAGAAGTAAGAAAAAACCAAAAATACTTCATATCCCAGCATTATATGCAGAGACAACTACAAGTAAGCAATATTCTATCCTGATTCCCCTGAAAAGTGCAAAACACTACGTCAGTATCAGGATATTGTTCTGTTTGCACATCCCAACCAGCCATCTGTCTCAACCAATAGCAACCGTTTGGGGCGGGACTATCTGTTTGACTGACCAATAGCAGAGAGGGAGTGTTTTTTCGCCTTTAAGGTTTATAGGTACTAAAAGTAGAGTTACAGTAAATAGTGGACTAGCCAAAAGGCCATTGCGATTGCCATTTTTAATATACATTTTTTAAATATAATTTGTATTTGAATAAAATACTTCTATTACTGAATTATTTATTTTACATATGTTTAAAGATCACTGAGAGATCAATCGATTTTCAGTCAATGATCTTAAAACCGATTCCATAAATTACAGTGAGTTTTTGCAGAAGTAAGAAAAAACTGAGGAAGGCCAACACAGACAGTGACGTCTGAAACATCAAACAGCCCAAAGCAACTACTAAGAAACAGAGCAGTTTCAGTTCAGCATATCATTTTATGCTACAGGACCCCAACAGAGTTGAAATGCAAAATTGCACAGATATTACACCCGTAAAATTTGAACTACATTTGAAAAACGTAAAGCCACAGGTCATCTTATAAATACCCGTCTACTGCGTTAAAACAAGGCAGTAATGCTCATCTCACAATCAAGTGCGGGATCCTGAGGGATGGCAAACCATCTTGATGCTAACTTATTTAAACTAAAAGGACAATATGTTCAGTCCAGCCCAACACCCTTTAGTCAGTGACTGATTTTTGTCAGCTAAACTAGATCTTCGTTTATTTAAGAGGCAAGTGGTTAAAGAGGATCTTGACAACCAAAGGCCCATAGTTCACCACGCGTTTAGTGATATAACTGATGGGCAAAGAGTCACGGCTCACAAAGCACCGAGTTCTCCAAGGTGAAGTCATAACGAAAGTTGGCTAGTTTGTCATTTATGTTGTGAAGCAGGGTGACATCTGTTACAAAGGGCAGGCCCGCCTGCATGGCCACGATGTGTGGTGCTAAAGTGAAAGGTATGTCTCCTAGAAGCTCAGGGAGGGCCGGGGTGGCGTCTACAGCGTGTGTTTCTGAGGACATCTTGGCAGACGTGGGCTGGGAGGAAGGCCGAGTCATCTCTGTAATTCCTCTGTTCCCGGCACTGGATGGCTGAACAAAAAGAAAGAGAATCCGCAGTGAAAACTGAGAAACCCGGATCTGTTGAGGAGCAGCACTGTTATTATATTCATCACAGCATGTGTGACTCAACTATTGCGCCATTTACCAAATTGCCACTGTGAGCAAGCTCTTTAAATCCTCATTAATGCTGGTTGAGTTCAGATTTTACTCATTTTCATCAAGGTTGGGTGATATATGTCAGATATCAGTTTCTTTATTACTGTTATGACTGCATGCATGAGTCAATGAATTTTATGATCTATAAAATCTGGCTCATATCAGTACCCCCAAAAAAGAGCAAAGGCTGCAGCCGCAGAGATGAGAAATCTGGTCTTGTTTGAGGTGGATGAGGAGTCATTACAGGCCTGGAACATCTCGATGAAGGAAGTCACATGCTGTACCACAACTAGAGCTGAACTTCACACTTTAACACAAGTAATGGGGCACACGTGCATAGAGTACATAGATAATAACTGGTTTAAAACTGTTTGTAAATTGGAGTGAATTTAAATCAATGTCATAAACAATTCTCATTCAACTCAATTCAGTAAGACTTAAATTAAACTTTCACATTAAATTGTTCAAAGGTCACAGTAAAGACATTTATAATCTAACAAAAGATTTTTTATTTCAAATAAATGCTGTTCTTTTAAACTGTCCAATCATCAAAAAAAAATCAGTTTTCATTGATGATAATAATAAACGTTTCTTGAGCAGCAAATAATCATATTAGAATGATTTCTGGAGAATCATGTGACACTGAAGACTGAAGTAATGAAGCTGAAAATTCAGCTTTGTATCACAGGAATACATTACAAATTAAAATACATTAAAATAGAAAACAGTTATTTTATATTGTAATAATATTTCATAACATTACTGTTTTTTACTGTATTTTTGGCTTACTGTATTTTACAGCTTTGGTGAGAATAAGACATTTCTTTAAAAAACAAAAAACAAAACGTAATATAAATCTTAAATACATTTTACCAACCCCAAACTTTTGAAAGGCAGTGTAGACTGTAAAATGTACAGTAGTTTGTGTGTAGTGGCGTACTAATCAGCTCATAAACACCAGTTACAGACACGGGACTTCAACACATTAAAGCACTGTGCAGTTTTTGTGGCCAATGTACCTGTATTTCAGGAACTGTGACCTTGGAACTCGCATAAGTAATTCTTTGGAAATTCACATCTAACTGCAAATTGTCAGGCCTCTTTTTTATGTGGCTTGTCCATTATTTTGTCCACCTGATTGTAAAATGCACTTCTCCTATTCACAAGTCAACTCCAATAACTGCGAAAGCCCCTCTTATTCAAAGAGAAAGAGTGAGACTGAGTGTCTTTCACTAGCCACATGTCTCCAGGCGGTGCTATGGAACAGACTGCTGAATGGCAGCAGCACATGTTGGCGCTGTTCAGTCCTGCCACCTGGCACCTGTCACACACCCGCTCAGCCAGCGCAACTCAAGGGGCACTTTCTCTCTCGTTCAGCACACAGCATATGGGAATCACGCCGGCCCGCTAACACTGATTACTCTATGAGCGATCCTTAAGATTGAATTACTCTCTTCAGGATCAGATTGAAAACGTAACTCGATTCACAGCTCAAACAAAGAATTTGTGGATGTTTTATTATTCGCCAGGTCAAAATCATAAGTTTGGAATTTAAAGGGTTAGTTCACCCAAAAATGAAAATTAGCCCATAAATTACTCACCCTCAAGTCACCCTAGGTGTATATGACTTTCTTCTTTCAGTCGAATCCAGTCAGAGTTAAATTGTCTTTGATCTTTTAATGCTGTTTAATGGCACTCAGCAGGTGTTGCATGCTTCAGTCCAAAACAAGTTAAATAAAAAGTGCCCATCCATAAAAAAAAAGTGTCTCACACAGCTCCGGGGGGTAGTGAATCGATGCGTTTTTGTAAGAAAAATATCCATATTCAAAACGTAATAATCACTTTAATGTAGCTTGTGCTCACTGTTGTACAAGGAAGCAGTTCCGGGCGGATAACGCATGAGTTCAGTGCTGAGCATGCTCCGGTGAGTCTCGTGAAAACCAACGTTTGTTAACAGGAGCAAAGGAAGCAAAGTTTCCTTACTTTAGCAAAGGAAAACCAGTCTCCTCTTGGCTTATATCGAAATCCTCCGACATTCTTCTTTACACATCCTCGTTTTGTACTTCTAATTAGTGACCGTTGTTTTGTTTTGATCTCTCCCCTGCGCTTCCGCGTGCCTCACTTCTGAGCTGTTGTTGTTTGCTGATTGCTGTAATGTGCTGAGGATGGGAAAGACGACCTCATACGTCATTCCCCCGGAACTGCTTCTGTTTACAACAGTGAGCGCAAGCTAGATTAAAGTGATTATTAAGTTTTGAATATGGATATTTTTCTTATAAAAATGCATCGATTCGCTACAGGAGGCCTTTGTTCACCCCCCGGAGCCGTGTGCGACATTTTTTTTTATGGATGGGCGGTTTTTATTTAACTTGTTTTGGACTGAAGCATGCAACACCCGCTGAGTGCCATTAAACAGCTTGAAAGATCAAAGACAATTTTTAATTTAACTCCGACTGTATTCGTCTGAAAGAAGAAAGTCCTATACACCTAGGATGACTTGAGGGTGAGTGATTTATGGGCTAATTTTCATTTTTGAGTGAACTAACCCTTTAACTAACGCGCAAAATTACTGAAATTATTAAAAACATTTGCGAATAAAGCACTGTTTCCATCCCATGTGTTCAAAAGAACAAAATCCTAATTTTCTGGCTTAGAGGATCAATAATAAAATGAAAGTTGCTGCAACTGGAGAAGACTGTGGCTCTTTTTTCCTACATAATAAATGACTTGCACCAGACGAAATGCAATAAATGCTGTCATGTTGTCTTGCATTCAAATGCTGTCTGTTATGGGTTATGGGAGGTGATAAGGCTATACCAAATGATTTTGATGACAAACTTTGGCTCAAAATTACTAAAATAACATGAGATGGTGTGCATTGAGATAACAGCACTGGTTAGTTCAGGTATCCAATCACATGATCTGTTGAGGCAAAGTCACATACTTTTTTTGATGCACACTGAGGAATTTATTCAGTACATTTGTTTCCATAGCAGTTTATGCATTAGTTTATGAATTATCTTATTGGATAAAAAAAAGAAATATATATATATATATACACAAATCAAGCAAGTGCATGATTTTTATGCATATTTTACCATTTATGCACATCTTGGCATTTTTATCCAGCTTTTTTACTCAATATTCAAAAATGTGCATAAAAATGGGTGGATGGAAACATAACTATTGTCTTTATGGAGATTTTTCCAAAATATCGACATATTTCCGATTTATTAAAAATGACAAAACACCAAAAACGACCATGAAGGTGCTGTCAAATTAGTGAATTTTAGCAGGCTAACAAGTCCATTGTCAATAGTGGAGTGATGTGTAAACCAAAGCTCACAATGAAGTTACTTTCAAACCAACAGAGCCTTCTATTGGTCAACACTTAGAATTTGCATGACCAACTTGAACTTGAAATTTTTCCACATTTCCAGATTTTGTGAATTCCTACTGAAATGACTGGATCTTTCCAACTGAAATAATGATAAATGTGATCACACCTGGAAAGTTAACTAGATGATTCTGACTTATATGTACTACATTTACATTCTTCTGATGCCATGTGATGCCAAAATCTAAGTTATTCACTGATAATTTTCCCCTCCAGTGAACTGTTAACTTGTAAACCTTTGTGACTGGATTAATGAGTTTGTTAATTGTTTGAGTTCAATCTTTTGAGCCGGTGCTTTCAATGAACCGGCTGATCCGGTTCACAAATCACACTGAATGATTCTCACTGACTCAGTGTTCCAGTCACGACACAAATTCATGGCGATTCATAATTATTTTACATTTTGGTGAACTGGTGGCTAATTCGTAGAACATTTGTACGTTTTTATACAATCTGCTTATGCCACACTGACGGTTAGATTTATGGATGGGATTAGGAGTAGACCTTCATGTTTACGAATGTGTATGAATCATACTGTACAAATTCATACAAAATCGCCACCCTGTATAATAGTGTTCTCATGAGATCATGTTGGTAGTTCTTACATTAACAACTCACTGGTTAGGAAAATTATAATTGAATAATGATTTAAATTTCAGTCTCATAGTTAGACCTTGCTATCTGCTTAGGATAATGTATATCAAATAACTGTAAATGTTTGAAGTTTGTGGTTGTAAATATCACTAGGTAATTGCAGCATTAACGGATCATTCAATAAAGTGAAACAAACTCACCTTAGATGGTTGTACTATTACATTTGTTGTGGGCTGCTCAATGTTCATGGACTGAATCTTCTGTGACTGCTCCTCAACAGTTTCACCTGAAAAGCAAAAAAATACAAAGAATTAATCATTTTTAAATCAATCAGAGAGAAAGGCGCATTATTCAGCACACAGCGAGCCCCAAAGCCAATCACGGACCCTTCACGGCAACAGCTTGATTTTCAGCAAGAATAATTGATTTTCCTTCAGTGCCAAGACAATAATGTGAATTAACTGCACTTAACAGGGTACTTTTCTGATTACATTAACAGATTATGAAGCATTAGTCCATCAGGGTACTTACAGCCACAATCAACGATGTTACTTGACAGAAACCTGCAACACCTTGGAATCATAACCAGACACTAACAGAACGATGTATGATATTGAAAATGAAACCCAGCTTCTTCCTGTTGCTCCTGAGAATCACAGAGCTGAATGTCTTGGTGAGCGTCTGCTCATCTCTGGGGCCTTCACACACACACACACACACCATGGCTCCTCCCTGTTATTGCCAACACCTGCACAAATCAGTCCCTCTGAGATGCTGGCCATTGTTTATGTTCTGAGAAAAAGCTTGTATGACTTGTGTCTAAAGGGGCATTCACACTGAAAGCGATATAATCACTGGAGGTCACCGGGTCATGGTATTGGTTGCTAGTAGCCATTCCTCCTGGACTGTAGTTTCCAACTGCATCATGAGGTGGGTCACATACTCTGCTCACAATTCGTTTAAAACTACCATCTTTAAATGCCAACAAATATATAATCTGCTGCAAAATTCTGTCAGTGAGAATTTCTTATAAGACATTTTATACCAAAAGGAAGTAGTGATGCACCAAAATAAATTTCTTATCAAAAAAATTGAAAATAAAGCTTCCTTTCATATAGTTTTTTTTAAGCTGAAAAACAAAACTGAAAATAAAGTTTAGTTTAATAAAGTCTAATGCTGTTTCATGCATTCCGAGTTATTTCCACTGTTAAAGAATTGGATTCCCAGGCTAAACATGACCAAAGTTTAAAAAATTTTTGGACGATTTGGACGAATGCCAGAGTATTTCTGTGCCAAATACACTACTTCCGGATTCATATAAGTTTCGGAAAGTTTTTTTTTCGATCCTTGTATGGGCACTTCTCTCAGACGAGCCTGCGCACAACTAGAGCCCGACCTATATGGGTTTTTGGGGGCCGATGCTGATACCGATATCAGGGACTAAAAAAAATTGGATATATATCCAATATCGATATATATATATATATTTCTAGGGGTGCTCCGATTCATCGGCTACCGATCACTATCGGCCGATAATCACGTTGAGATGATTGATCGGCGGTCTCAAAAAAAACGATCTCAAGCTGATGACGCTACCGTGAGAGGTTTGGCTCGACATGCAGCAGCACCGTCTCAGTCTCTGTCCGGCGCGGGTGAAATAATGCTGAAGGTGAGTTACTCACCTTCATATTTCTTAATTAAATAACTTATAAAGTAATTTGAAAACATTGTGTGAGACGTAATTTCACAAACAGCGTGAGTGAATCACCTCACACGCTCTCTCTTTCTCTATTAAAATCCGCAAATGTCTTCAAATCACCACATCGCTTCTGTCTATAAGCGAGCTGCACGCTGCACAGTTGACACAGGAATTGTCACTTGCACAATCGAGGCAGTCACATCGTCACTAAAGTTTATAAATTGCATTACTTTTTTATTCTAGCCAGTTTAACCATTCAGCGCTCTCGCGCACACACATAATGCCAGGTTCACACACACTCCGTTTGCAGTGCGTATGTGGTTCGTATTTTTTCTGCGCTCCTGTTAACGGATTAATAAAGTGTGCACACTGCACACGGTTGCTGTCCGGCAGTGCGTTCCAGGAGCGGTGCGGTGCGTCTGCAGCAGTGCAGAGATCGTTTCCGCACCCAGTCTATGGCCCTGTCCCAAATGGCACCCTAAACCCTTGCGGTCTTCCTCTGAGTCTGCACTTTCGTGACGTAATACCGCTTTGACGGGTAGAAGTCTGCTGCGGAGCTCGCTCGGGGCTCAGCAGAAGTGCGGATCAAGGGTGCATAATGGCCGCAAAGGGGGTGCTCGCAAGCACCCTTCTGAACGCTAAAATGACGAATGGGACACTCTACGGTCTCGAGGACTTAACGGACACGTGCACGCGGCGGCCATTGTAAGTCCATAAGACCACAAGTGCACATGAAGTGTTCCATTTGGGACAGGGCCCATTTTTGCTGCTGCAAGCGCTGAATTAAAGTAACAGCACATTGTTTGTGGTAAATATGAACATGGATCGACACGAAAATGTAGTAATTACAACATAAATGCATATTATTAAAGTCTACTGTGTTTTACAGTCAACACATATGGCTTTTTTGGCTAGGTTTAAAGGAAAAGAGCACTTTTAGATAAACAAAGCAATAACAGATGGCACTCATGGAGGTAGGAAAACAAAGTTCTTTATTAACCGCAGGATTGCTTGTAATAAAGATTTCAATGCAAAAGGAAAGGCAGTAGAGCTGACTATTTCTGTCAATGGTAAGTTTGTGAAAATAACTGAGTTCCTTTGGAATTCTTAAGCTTTTAAGTACTACCGCTTTCTCCGGTAGTGGGCGGAACTAATGCGCAAACGGCAATATCATTGGCTGGCGCTCGCCTATTATCATCCCCGTTTTGATTTCAGCGAATCAGTTCGAGCGAACGCACACAACCTGATTAATATTCATGAATCCAGTAGCTCATTAATCCTTAGTGCGTTTTATATTGTTCTTATTAGTAGAATTCGTATCATTATTATCTTATCAGTATTTTTGTTAGTTTTTCCCCAATTTTTTATTTTTTTACAGAAACACTAACTGACCAAAAAAGCACCAGCACCAGTCCGAAGTTCAGTTAAAATGACTAATATGCATTCATACATGGTTATCAAGTTTTAATTCTAATTACTAAAGTTCTATCATTAAATAATATCGATTATCATATTATAATGCTTGACCGACTGATGTTAAGATATTTATAAAACTGTGCCATTTTACAAACAACGCCCCCACATATCTACATCACTATGTGGGAAGATTTGCATAACGCCGCCCAAATATTCACGCAAAGAAAGAAGGTGTAACTTTTATTCTCGCTGTAGTATTGTTGACGCTGCCGCCACATGTCGTGAAGGCGATGTGTGCTTCGTTGTGAAAGCTAAACTACTTTGTTTGGTCTTCCAAAAGAGGACGATATCTGCTTCGTCATGCCTAGAGCTGATCCTTGCTGGTCGCTGAGGGAATACATCAACTTAGTGCTGTGGATCGCCGGATCGGCTTTCACCGCTCCTTCGCCGGGACCGCCGTTCTCGACCCCGCCACCTCAGCTCACTCTTCCCCGGCTTCAGCTCACGCTAAGCCGGGGCTTTTGCTCACACTAGGCCGCTATGTGTTTCGTTGTGAAAGCGAAACTACTTTGTTTGGTCTTCCAAAAGAGGATGATATCCGCTTCGTCATGCCTGGAGCTGATCTGTGCTGGTCGCTGAGGGAATACAACAACTTAGTGCTGTGGATCACCGGCACATTTTATGGAGGACTGTTTACTGATCCTGGGAGAGTAACGTTAGACTAAAATGCCGGCAATTCTGACTCACGTAAGTACGTTTTCTTTTATCATTTGCCACTGATGATTCAAACGCGAGTTTTGGGCAGTGTAGAGTAGCACTTGTTGTTTGTCATTTCTCCGATCACAAATGCAGACAGAGTTTTATGTTTACGCGGCGCGATGCAATGCAACGCAACGCGTAAAAAGACAGTATAAGTCATTATAATCAGTAATTATGTCCCCACTGGATGCAACAAATGCCTCGTTT